CGGCGGCGCAGCACCTACCTTCCCGGCTCCGGGTCCCGGAGCGCGGGGCGCGGGGCCGCCGGAGCACTGCCTCCCTCCTTCCTCCTCCCCTCACCCCCGCCCCGCGGCCGACGCACAATACTCGCCGGAAGCGGAAGTCGCGGCCGAGGGGAGACGGCGGCGCGCCGGGGCCTAGCAGGCTCTGCGGCCGGCGAGCCCGAGGCGAGGGCCGGCGCGGCGAGCCCCGGGCGAGAGGGCGCACCGGCCGCGGCGGGCGGCGGAGGTGCTGCGCCCAGGTGACCCGAGCGCGCCTCAGGGGACGGAGGGCCGCGCATGCGCGCGGCGGGGCGCCGAAGGCCGTGGCCGGCGGCGCGCAGCCCTGGCGGCTTGCCGGCGGGGGTTCATGGCGGTGTCCGGGGGGCTGGGAGCAGCAGGGGCGTGGGCGGCCACCGGCTACGCTTTCCCGGACTCCGGGTGAGTTCGGGGGTCGGGTCGGAGTGTAAGGCGGCGGCGGCGGCGGATTACGTGTCTGACCTGAGATGCTCTGCTGGCACGTCACTTCCGACTGGCTGGGTGTTAGCATTTTAATGGTCAAGGACTAGGTGAGTGTTCTTGGCTGCAGACCGAGCTGTGCCTTATGTCTCCCCTGGTTGGCTGACAGTCACGAAATGCTTTCCCTGGCTGGAGCAGGGGCGTGGAAAACTGGTCTGGTCCAGTGCTTTCCTGCTCACGCATCTGTCACCAGCATCTGTACGGCAGACGGAATTCAGTGTTTAGTAGGTCCCGAGTGAGAACCGAAGCCTGTTGCTCTCTCTTTGAGGCCCTTGGCGTAAGTTTCCCCGGGAGAGTAGATGGAGCTTGCGGGTGGACGCCAGGCTTGCTCAGTAGCCTCTCTGTTTTTTGGAAGTGTCACGAATCTGTGATGATGAAGATTTTGTGGAAGGGGGTGAGTTGATGTGGGGGGAACATGTGATGGTGCAGATATAATGGATGCAGGGGGAGTTAGTGCCAGGATCCACAATCACACTACCAGTAGCATAGGTAGCTTGTCCCTCTGTTGTGAGACAGTCCTTTTTTGAGGAGGTAAGAGCATGCTTGCTCACCTCGGGGAACTGACACAGACCAAAGAATGGGTACCAGTGAACTCCGATTTGGTGAGGCATGAGTTTTACTGGGGTCCTTCAGAGTGGGTGAGAGGTAACTTGCAGGAGCAGAAATGGCCCAAAGACACTGGCTCAGCAAAGTCCACCCTAGCGTAATTGACAGCCCATAAACCTACAAACCTGGAGCTCACTGCACAGCACGGTAGGGTGGGGCATCTTCCATGCATTCTGTGCTTCTGCTGGGCTTGTCTGAGAGTGGCTTTCAACAGTCCTTACTGTTTAAGATACTTTTGGGGAAGGAATTTGCGGAGTCTAGTCAGCTTCAGGGACTTCTGAGGTTATTATGAGCTGTTTACTTTGTGTCTTAAGGTGCTTCCTGTAGTACCTCACTTCTCAGAAGATCTTGTTGTTTTACATCTCTGAGAATCTCCTGTCTTAGGACGCTTTCCTCCATGGTGCAAGGTTTTAACCGCAGAGTAAACTGCGTCTTGCAACAGTTGGCATACATTGTTTTTGAGTGGATTGTAATGTGTGCCCTCCTTTCAGAAAAAATGGCTACTCTGTGTTTTGAGTTTTGTTTTGTTTTCCACAAACGCCAAAAGTATTTTGGCTCCTTTGAAGATAGCATTTTGTGTAGTCCAGGCTAAACCTGAGCTCACTGGGTAGCTGAGGATGGCTTTAAACTTGATCCTTCTGCTTCACCTCAGAGTGCTAGAATTACAGGTGTTGTCCACAACTAACATGCACATTGAACCCCTCACACTTGGAGTCCAAACCACTTTAGTGTCAGAAGACAGGTTAAAGTGTCCGAGGTTAAAGATGTGACAGGTTAAAGAAGACAGGTGTGTCCGAGGGCCACAAATGGCGAAAACAACAAAACTACTTTAAGAAGTTAACTTTTTTGTTTTGTTGATGTTGTTTTTTTGCTTCCCTTTTATGGTAGTCAATGGTTTTAAGAACACATTTGATAATTACTCATTTTCTTCACTTCGTTGCTATCATATTTGGCAATTAAGGATTATAGACTACAGCAGTTGTTATGGCTAACTAAACACCTTATTTCTGATATAAGGTAGTTTGAAAGCTGTTAATGAGCTTCTGCCATTGTCCCTTAACATACCCCAGGGTGGTGCCCTCACTGTGGTACCTTTCCGTTATGAGGACTTGTCCCCTCCCCTTTTCATCTTGTATCTTGAGAATTTTCTCTGGCCACCTGCCCTGTCCCTATCTTCATTTTTTGTGCCCTTTGAGGTGTGTAGAGAAAAAGGCAAATAGGAATGAAATACCAATGTGTCTGTGGTTCCCAGAAGTTCTGTACTTACTGTAGCAGTTCATAAGCAGCTGCAGTCCTTCCAACCCAGTCATGCAGTGCCCTGTTTTCTGTTGTGCCTTGGGGCCTTCCATGAGTTGGTGCTCACATCTGGTCTCTGGAGCTCTTTCTATTGTGGGAAGCTGAGTGGTGGGATTTCAGTCTACTTGGGTAGCTTTCTGAAAGGTTAAAAAAGTTTGGCTTCTCAGTTATTTGGTTTTTCTTGTCATCAGGATAGCAACAGTTTTTTCAAGCTTTTTGCATTGCCAGGGAAACTCTAAAATAAATAACAAAACCATAGTGTGTCATACTATACAAAGTTGTTAGGCTTTCCAGTGAGGGGCTTCATTTCATAAAAATGTTTTTCTTCCTGAGTTTAAAAGTGTCTTTCATCTTACTTTAAAGCACTGCCAGCCTTGACTGATTCAAGGCTGTGTGTTGTGGGTTATTAATATTTATTATTGATTTATCTTTTAGTTAAACTGCACATATTCCTAAACCAGCTGTATACCCAAATCGCCACACAGAGACTAGGATTTATTTAATTAACCTAGAGCACAATGCTGGGCAATAGTTACTCCATTCTAAACCTCCAATCCTGCATAGTTTCCTACCATTCAGATTTCACCCATTATACTTGTTTTAAGTCATATCTTAGGTCCGCCTCATCCCTCCTCATGGTTCCAAGCCCTGTCCTGCCAACCTCTTCTCTCTCCTCCCACTGGCTTCCTTCTCCCTTCAGATCAGGATGTCCCACCCTATTTTTTCCATTCCACAGCACTGACTGGTTGTTTAATTGACAATTACAGAGAACAAATGGTGGCACATTTACACAAACTTGAGACAGGTGATACTTTAAGCATCACAATGCAATGTCTGTATTGAAACTGGATAGTAGGGTAGAGAAATCAGCATTTGAATGGACAAGGGTACATTCCACAAGAATACAGCAACAGCTGTGTCCTTGATAATGTGTCCTCAAGTTTCACTTTCATGAGTTGGACATTGCCTTTCTTTCAAGATTCCTTGCAAGGTTTATGTTGTTAAAAATGGCTCTCTTCCTCCGTCTCTGACTTCTGAGCCAGTTCCATGGTGGAATTTGAACTAGATATCCTCCAAATGAAGGGGTTCTTCGGTTTTTCCTAAACCTTGGGTAGGGATGTGCACATTGGTAATATACACCATAATGATCTCCTCATTCTTAGCTTTGCTTCCACGCCCTCAAGTAGGTGAAGCAGGTTACATGTCCACGCTGGTCTTTTCTCCAGCCACAGCGGTGTCTCACAGTTGGATCCCTGAGGTTTTGTTTCTGGGAGCCCTGAAATGCGATGTCATGTTTAGGGTACAAGGTCTTTGATCTCAGCAAGTATATGGTAGGATGGAGTAGC